AAAAAAAATAACAAAAAACAAAACCTTCTAAACAAGAAAATATAAAAAGAAAGAAAGGCTTTAAATATTGATAAACAAAATCAAGCCTTGAGGAAGAAAAAAGTGAAGAATAAGGTTCAAATCCAGGAAACATAGCTTGATTTAGTTTTTAGTTTTGTAAATAGAAATATAAAACCCTTCTTTTAAGGTCTTACTGGCTAGCTTGATATAGCTCCGGACCAAAAATAAACATCTGGCCTGTGTGGCAGACCACTTTTAGGCATTCATAAAAGTAGCCAGAAGATGTCGAACCAAAATTTAAGCCAACTTTGTACAACTTGTATATAAGAATCTTAATAAAGGTGATTGGCAAAGCTGTTTAAGTTAAAAAAAAAAAAAACTTATTTATACATTTTAAATTACTTTTTTATAAATTTGATATTTTATTAATAAAAATTAATATATTTGTTGTATAAAAGAATTTAAACCTAATGTACTTAGCTAAAATATACTATAAACTTAGCTCTAAGAATTGTGATATATATAATTTATTATATATATGATTAGTATTCTAATTATTTTAATAATATAGTATATATGCTATTTTTTTAATAGACAATTAATTCTTTGTAGATAGGTTTACTATAATAAAGATTTAAATAGTAATACAGAGTATATAGTCAGGAACAGCACTTTTAGAACAAGAAAGAATATGATGAATTATTGCTTTGAATTCATCACATTATATAACATTGCTCAAAGCAAATGAGATAGATTCAATTTGGCACTGGTTAAAGATGGCCTTAAGAATGTTATCAGAGATGATTAAAGAAGCATATTGGTTTAATATTTATTTTGTTTATTTATAAAAATTAGAACTTTTATTAATTTTTATTTTTATTTCTAGAACAGGTTACAATTTAAATATAATTTGAATTACAATATAAGACAATTCTGAGTTCTAATTATTAGAAGAGCAGAACTATTTCTATTCTAATTATTAAAGACCAGAATTCTATTTACTATAGAGTGAAGAAACAATATTTTTATAAAAAATTCTCAAGTGAAAAGAAGAAAACTTAGAAAACAGCTTTGACACTCATTTTTTCATTATTATAGACTATTTTTTCCTTATTTACTACCACTTTTTTCTTTTTTTTACAATTTATTTGTTGTTACTTTAGAATTTTTTCTATTATCCTACAACAACACACAACCTAGCATATGACAATGCATTGACATAGCCACAGACTTTATCTGTCAAGGTAATATTACCTTAACAGTTATATTTCAAATTGAGTAGATAGCTTTTCTTCAATGAATTAGTGTCATTACTTAATAAAAAGCCTGATTTGTCCTGAGTTATAGGCATTATAGTACAATGGTTTTTATGATGCATATCATGAGTTGTTATATATATTTTCTCAAGGTCCTAGGGTCAGATCTACTTATAACAATAGTTAATTTTGAGTTTTTATTTTGTAATACTCATATATATATACTTGTGCACATCTAAATGCATAATATAAAAATTGTTATATAAATTAATCATATTTAATAACACTAAAAAAATTATTTTGATGTATTATTTATTGCTAATAAAACCAAGATTGTAATATTACTCATAGTTTTTTATATATATTTTTTAATAATTGATAATATTTACATATGCTTAATACTTAAATCATCTGTATTTATATATGTTTTTTAATTATATAAGTAACAAACAGTATTGTACTTTAATAAGTTTAGCAATTTGAATTTTGCATTCTAGTTAAAACTTATAAGTCCAATATTCCTATTTGTAAATCCAAGTTGTAATTATTGAAAATATAATTAAAATATAATAAAGAATAAAGTGTTAGTAATGTTAAAAATTTATTGCATATTGAATATTTTTAATAAAGTTATAAACTATATATTGTATTAGTTAAAAAAATCTCTACTTGGATATTATTAAATTATCTTGATAAAGGACTTCAGGCGAAAACTTCTCTGCCCGAGCTCCTGATCTCGATTGAATCTCCTTGTCTCTGATTATCTAAGTAATTTATTATAAATATATAATAAAAATGTCTATTTAGATGCAATCTCTAGTTATTACTAATAAAATAAAAGTTCTTTTATTACTATATATAAAAAATAATAAATTTGAAAATAACTATTTATTTTTTTTACTATTAAGATAAGACCTTGCTTATATTTTTATTGCTAGTTTTAAAATTAATAACTATATAAATAATTAAGTACAAAAAATATTTCTAAATAAATGCTATAATTGCAACTAATAATTGCAATTATAAATAACTACATATTACTAACTATATAACTAAACTTTAAGTATAAAAATAAAAAAACTACATTTAAAACAACAACTCAAATATATTTATTTATAATCTAAACTATTTAAGTAATTATAACTTATTTATATTTGTATAGCTAAAATATAATTAAAGATATTATAGTTAATCTAAAGAATAATCTATATAGCAAATTTGCTAATAACAAAATTAATAAGTAAACAAGTATTAGTACTAATATATATATAATTAAGTAATCTATATTAACAAAAATATTTAGAAGTTTGACAAATATGTTTAGTATATCTATTGTTGTTATATTAAATTAAAATTTTAAATAATTATATTAATGCAATTATTTTTATAATTATGTAATAATTTTGTTATAATTTCAACTGATAAAACTATTAATATTTAGTACAACTTATTATAATTAATAAAACTTATAATAATTAAAAAATCTATAATAATTAATAAAATCTTTAATAATTAACAAAACTTTTAATAATTAATAAAACTTTGATAAAACTTATAATAACTAATAAAACATTAATAAATATAATTTAAATAAAACAAAAAGTTTAAAATATTTTTTAAAAAATTATATACTGTATATTTATATATATAAATATATATATATATATTTTATTATTAAAAACTAGCATATAACCTGTCGTGTTGCTCCAATTTTAAAGCATCTATATATAATATAGAATATGTAGATAAACATTATGAAATAAACTTTATGAGATAAATCATAAAGAAAAACCGAATGTTTTATATGCCATTGATCTACCCGAAGTAATAAAGTAATAAAAGTAACAAAAGTAAGAAAAATAAGATTTCTCTTACTTTTCATATAACCAATTACTCAGAACCTAAATGTGTAACACTAATTACAGTCATGCATTATGATCAGCATAAAACTGACCAATTAAAATTGATTTTTGTCTTCTAGTGTTTATCTCATAGTGTTTATCTCATAATGTTTATCTACCCATTCTATATTATATATAGATTATATTTTATAATAATATTTTATTAACAATTTGAAATTAGTTATTTTTTATAAAAATAAAAATACAACTAGTTATATATATAAGTTTTGGCTATCTATTTAAGTAATTTATTTTAAGGCTTTATATTAAATACTATATTTATATATATTAAAAGATTATTTATTTAAATATTTTAAAATTTGTTGAGTTAAACTTTAATCTACTATATATACTTTATATATACTAATTAAGTAATATATTTTTTTTCTTTTTGGATTTGTACTTAGATTATTATTAATTTTAGAATACATTACTGGATAATAAATTTAAAAAACCTTTTTTTAATAATCTACTTATTTTATAGTTCTATTAACACGATTATATTATTACAAAGTTTATCTAAACCTTAATGCAAACTATATAGCATATTTTTAGTACTTTAATATATTATTACTTTGTTCTTAAACTTCTAATTCAATATATTGTATTTGATCTAATATTCTTTTTTTCTAATTTGAATCTAGTAATTTAGTTTGTAATATTCTTATTTAAAAGTTTTTACCTATTTGGTTTCTATATATTAATATCTATTTTCTATATCTAATCTTATATTTGTATTATTAAAAGTTTTATATTACTTTTTTGTTTAAGTTTTTTAAAATAGACTTTTGTTTTTTAATTCTACAAATTTATATAGTTACAAGAACTTATATTGAATTTGTTGCTTGATAAATAGGAACCCTCATAGCAAAAGGTAGCAATGTGTTAAAAAAAATTTTTTTCTTAAAAATACAATTTCTTAAAGAATTAGAGTAATAGGCATGTAATTTTTATAAAATTACAGAATCAAAATTTTTGCACATTGCCACCTTTTGCTGTGATTGTCTCCAAATATGTTCTTTATATAGTATATTACAGAATAAAGTTAGCAATTAGAAAATGAGTAAAGTCAGAAAAATTCCAGAAAGAAAATGAACAAACATAAAAAATGAGTAAGTTTGGAACAAAATTTTGAATAAATTGCCAAAAATTTTTAAAAAAATAGCAACAGAAATTTTGATATTGAGAACATTAAATTATTTTTGACAACATTAAATTAAATAATTGTGTTCTCATGAGAACATAAATTTCAAAATAGATTTCCAACACTAACCCTACCTTGAATGGCTTAATCATGGGTTACATAGTAGAAAATTCTTTGTAGATATACATGAGGGTTGAAATTATTTTTCTCATGGCAAAAATTAAAATGGCAAAAATCATTTTTGATAGTCTAAAGTGTAAATAATTTAGAGTGTCAAAATTATTTTAGGATGTCATAAATATTTTAGAGTGTCATAAATATTTTAGGGTGTCGTAAATAATTTTAAGTGTCGAAATTATTTTAGAATATTATAATGACGAAAATATTTTTAAATGATGAAAATATTTAAAAATATTGAAATATTTTTGAATGTCGAAAATAAAAATGTAATCTTTAGATTAAATAATCTTAAGAAATAATTATCGTAAAGGTTTTTACTGCAGCTTTAGTCTACTGAATTCTTTTAGTAAAGTTTCTTATATATGTATATATGTTTTATTTATATAGATAAAAAAAATTTTATATGAAATAGCTTTTTAAAGTTAGATAATATAAATCCATTATATAGAAATAATAAAAACTATAAAAATAGTTGAATAAAGAACTAAAAAAAACTTGGCTACCAAGAAAAAAAATAATTCAACTATTAAAAAATTAAAAAATATAAATGAATAATACTAAAATATTTAAAGCTAAAACTAACAAATTTATACTTTACTTGTAGATGCATTAATAACTTCATGATATCATAATCCAATTTATCTTCCTCTAATTCTACATTACTATTGGTTGTTTTATTTGTTTTTTCTTCTAAAAAAGTATTGAAATTAAACATTTTTTCAATTTCTAAATCCCTATCATTATATTGCAAAAGATCGTCCAAATTTTCAGTATCAGATATATAATCGACATCAGTTTCTTCACTTTCTTCTCTATCATCAATAAACATATCGTTGTCAAACTCAACCATATTTGCATAATTTTCCATAATTTTCTCAAAGTCAAATTCAGAAATAGCGTGATTAATATAATTAAGTTCTTTTTGAGCATTGGTTATATAATAAGTATGTATTTTTGCTATATTTAATACTTTTTCAACAGTAATTCTATTATAAAAAGTATAAATTAAGTAATTAATAATAATAATTAGGTTAATTACTTTGTGTACTAATTAGATTAGTTTATTGTAGTTTGCAAAATTAGCACTCAGAAAATGTGTACCAGATTGCTTCTAAGCTACGAATCAAATTTTAAGATTTGGTATAATGTAACTTGATCGGGAAGATTCAAAACATATGTTCATTCTGCCAAAAATTAGTTATAACTCAAAAGTCAGCATAAAAACCCACCTTTTGTGCTCTAATAAAAAGTTTTTGTTAGACAATTTTACTATTATATCTATTATCACTAATTCCTAACCTTGACCCTAATTCTAACCTTAATGAATTTTAAGAATTTTGTCTGTATCACAAATCCAGTACACATTTTCTAAGTATGCAAAATTATACATAACTAATTTAATTATAATAAATTACAATAACAATTAGGTTTGAATTGTTTAAACTAATCTACATCAGCAAATTTTAAAATTGAAATTCTTTCGAAATATTTTACATCAATCGAAAGCTTTTGAAAGAATTTCAATTTTAAAATTTGCTAATGTAATTAGAGTATGATTAAATAATAAATATTAAACTGAGTTTAAGTATAATTATATATTAAATTAATATTTGAGATTAAAATAGTTACCTGCTTCATCTTTTCTGTGTAATTCAACTTAAAATTGAAAATATATGCTCACAACTTGCACTATGTAGAGTAATTGCTAATAAATGTAAAGCAAGTTTTTGTAAATAATGATCAGGCATTTTACAACCATTCCACCAAGTTTGTAGTGATTCAACACTTTCCATAAAAGTATAATTATAAGGTGGCTCAAATGCATCATACATTTTTATTTGTGCTACAAGTATATTAGCACTTGCTAATTCACCTCCAAGTTTTTTCCAAATTTCAAGAGCTGTATGCAAAATATCTTGAAATACTAAACTTTTTATACCCTTTCCATGATGTTTAGGATAGAAAAAGTAAGCTAAAAGATAAAATTTTATATTGAATTCTTTTCAGCGCTTGTTATAAAACTGAATACATTGCTTATGAAATTCAATACGTTCTGTTAAATCATTATTTTTAAGTGCATTAATAGCTATTCTATTTGAATTAAAAATAAAAAAATATCTGCAGTTGTGGTTACTTTAGATCCTGCTATTTTAACTGCATTTTTAGCAGGAGCTAAAACCTTTGCTAATACTTCTGCATTTGCCCAAAATTGATGATCATGTATAAGATTTTGTAATTCTAATGTCATAGCTGAATTGTCATTGTCTAAAATCTAAAATAGAATTATTATTAATTATCATTATTATTATATAAAGTTATTTTAAATAGATTACCTGTTTAATACAATTTTCTAAATTGAGAACTGATTGTATACGATTATATGCAGATGACTAATATGAACAAACAGAACTTTTTAACTCCCATTTATTTATCATAAAATTAATTATTTCATTATGCAGAATTGCACCAGATCGATGAGATGCATGAAAATATATAACAAATGATTGATATTGTTGTAATACTTTTTTTCCAAATAAGGTTTTGCAGATTATATCACTACAAATTAACTGAATATGGTGAGCAATACACTGAACTGGTAATATTTTAGGATATTTATCAGAAATATATTGCTTTGCTAATGACATTGCAAATGCATCATCAGATACAACAGCACCAAATTTATCAATACAAATATTAATTAAAACCTTTTCCATTTCATCAGCTGTAAAAATTGCTATATGAGAATTGATAGAATAATCTTTTATCAAGTACACATATTGCTTTTTATTAGAAGTTATAATAATAAAAGCAAAATATGAATGTCCACGATTACTAGTTCAACTATCCAAAGCTAATAATATAATATAATAATATAAATTTATGAAATAAATAAATAAATTTATAAATAAATAGATTATACCTAATGTGAGGTTATTTTCATTTTTAAGTTCTTTCTCAATTGCAATAGTTATACTTGCTGTTTCATAATTAAGCCAATCATTACTTAAAGTTTTTCGATTAGGTGATTTATATGAGATGCATAAATTTTGACAAAAATCCAAAAAAAATAGACTTTCAACAATCCAAAAAGGAATTCCACAGCACACTAAGAATCAGATTAAGACTTTATTACATAATTGTTCTTGTCCAGAGTCCATTATACTGATATTTTAAAATTTGCTATCAATTTGTGGTTGTACACCACTAACAATTTCATGTATAATTTTTTTTTTTTGGTGTAGGAAAATTGCATAAGCAATCTTGTTTAATATTAAGTAGTGCACTTTGACAAATAAGCTCTAAATGGGCATATATATTTATATCAGATACACATAAGTTTTCTTCTTGACAATAATTACATTTCTAACCTTTATGCCCACTTTCTTGATAATTAATTTCAACAAAATGATTCCAAAGTGGATTTTTTGGCCACCCTCTTTTATTTTTTTTGTTTGTTTGAACAATATGATCCAATTCTTCAGTATCTACTTCTGATAAATTTGCTACACTAGGTCCTGAATTCTCTTCCATTATTTAGATTATAGTATAAGTTCACTTATAAAAAAAAAAAAAAACTACTGCTCATTTATAAATAAAAAAACTATCACTACTAAAACATTACAAATTGGTATCTATAGTTATATTTAAATATTTAATCGAT